GGCTTTGGATGAGGAAGAACCAAAGTCACTGCTAAAACAGGGGCCAAAGCTGCATTAGCCTTCTGAGCAGGGACTGGGATAAACCTTATGGCCTGATAGCTGATTGAAGCCGAAGTAGTGGCCCAAGATAGCACCAGAGTTGAATTTAGAGCCCCAGATGGAGCTGAAGCCAAAATCATAATACAAGACAGGGCTAGACCTGAAACTAAGACAACATTGAAGTGAAAGACAATCAAATCATGGCCCATAGTCTGCGCCAGAGTCACAGCCCAAAATGGGGATAGAGTCACAGCTGTAACCTATGATGGCTGTAGCTGACATGGCAGCTGAAAGTAGAGTTTGCTGTGAAGTTATGACTCAAGGAGAGAATTAAGGTAAAGAAGCTGTCCAAGATTGGGCTGAAGTAAAATTTGCAGCCCCAGATGGGGTGAGAGAAAAAGTCACAGCCCAAATAGAGGCTTGAGCTTGAAGAGGAGCTGACACCCACAGATCACTTGGGATGGGAATTTCCCACTGGCAGGGATCAAGCACACCCATATCCCAGTCCTGGGCTGAGCTGTGAGTCAGACCCAGGAGAACTCACCACACAGTCCTCATGGGTACCTTCTGGCTTCTCATGGATCCTTCTGGCTTTTCTGGCCATAAATATGTGGTTCCATACCCTTTAACCACAGCATAAGGGCTAGATGGAGAAGCACATATGCCACAGCCACTGAGAAACTCTCCAGTGGCCTGAGAATCCTAAAATCGTAAGATATCCTGAGTTGGAAGGGATACAGGGTACAGTTGGCCCTTGGGGCTGCCAGAGCACACTGTGGACTCATTCACCTTGCCATCAACCAGAACACCCAGGACCCAGGGGGGTTGGAGAAAATATTTTAGAGATTTCCCCTCCCTTGCCTTGAAGGACAGGGCTGGAGCTGCTGGAGGGGCACTCAGTGGCAGCAGAGAAAGCACCTGGCCTCTGGCAGCACTCTGCAATCCAGCAGGGCACCTGCCACATCATCTCCTGGGTCACTGCTGTCCTCATGTGACCATCCTCATCAAAACACATTTCTGATTGTGTTCCCCGTGGGTGTCAGCTTGGAGCACTGAGCAGCATTTGTACTTATTCATCACTTAGTGTCAGCAACAATAATAATTAGAGAGCTGTAATTATCCCCCGGCAATTATCTGGCTGTTTTGATGAAGATGATCCTCTAAGTAGAAAGAATACATCTTGATTTCATAAGGCCACAGGGCAACATGTAGCATTAAGTTTGGGTTTGAGTTTAAGCAATCGACTGGACAACTACGGAGGAGGGAACACCGGGGAGGATACACAGGCTTGTTTGGCAGATAAATAAATAAATAAATTAAATAAAAGCAAACTAAATACAACTGGGTAAAGTTTCATCAAGAAATGAAAGAGGGGAAGGTTCAGGTTGGATATAAGGAAGGCTTTCTGCTCAGGAGTTGTGAAGCACAGGCACAAGCTGTCCAGGGACGTGGTAGAGTCACCGTTCCTAGTGGTGTTGAAGGAATGTGTGGATGTGGCACTGAGGGACATGGTTGGTAGACAATATTGGTGGCAAGGGGATGGTTGACTAGATGATATTAGAGGTCTTTTCCAACCTTAATGATCCTATGATTGTATGAAATATTTCTAACTGCTGCTTTGGCTGGCCAAGTGGTCTGCCCTGTGAAACTGGGGGCAATGGTGGTTGTGCCAGCATCCATCTCTAAAGGTGAAGGCCTGAATCTTTTTCATTTCCATAAAGAGTGGACCTGTATGGGAAAACAGATATTCCCACAATCTCCCATGTCCCAGTCAGGAGTAACTCACAAGCTGTGTGGCAATTGCTATGAGAAGAGTTTTAGCCCAGACCGGCTCTTTACTTCTTCAGAGTTACTGTCAGATGGAGATTTTAGTGTGCTCAGTACCATTTACCTGTTGAAGTATAATTTTAATTGAGATGAAAGTGTCCATTTCCCCTAGCATATGGCTAGAGCTAGTGTGCATGTTTTCTTATCTACAAGCATGGTATTAGTAGAACATGCAGCATAATCTAAAAAGGTGAGAGGACTTGCACAGAGCAGCTGATGCCATACGGCTTTCAACGTGCACCAGTGCACTTCTCACTGAGAAGCTGCAGCATCTAATGCTGCACCACTGACCCTCTAAAACACACACAGTTGGACTGCAAAGCCAAAGGGGGCCAAAGTGGTCAGAAGAGCAGTTCTGCAGCGGCCAGCCGAGCCCCATCCATCAGGTTTCTCTGAAGGGAAAGACACCAGCTCATTGGCTTTTTCGGAGAGCTGTCAAGTTTGCAGCTGGAAGCAAATTGGAAAAGCACTTACTTACAATCCTAACCCAGTTGTAGGGAAATAAACAGCTCCTATACATTTAGCTGTTGCCATAAACCCTACTGAAACTGTATGAAAATGTGTTAATGCTTTCGATTTGGCTTACATGGCTTCTTCACCAAGTAAAGCCAACTAGGGCAAGCTTGGCTCAGCACATGAAAGACTCAGAGACTGGTAACATAATTACACATGTATGCCTATGCAGGGGGACATGTGATAAGCTGTAACATTCCCAGAGCTTTGAGGACAAAACTAGTTTGTTTGTTTTTTTTTTTCCTCTGGGAGTTTCTTGCTGTCTAGGGTTAAATGTAGGTCAAGCTGTCTGAGCCATGTCTGTGGCACACAGAGTGGGATTAAATCGGAATTTTCCACTCAACTCCACTGTCAATCACTGTAATGTCTGCAAATGTTAAATTAATCTGGAGTGATCTGGCATTGCACTGAAGGGAGCTTCTTGGGCTCAAGGGTGACGTTTTGGCCTCCGTGGAAAAATTGCCTTCTCTCTCCAGGCAAGGGGTGGCTCCGTTCTGACGGCTTTTTTAAAACCCTGAAACTACCAGCGAAACCCAGAGAGATGATATTCTGTACAAGGCAAAAGCACACAGATGGCAGAAGGAGCAGGGAGAGAGAGCACCTGACTGCAGGAGGGACCACGAGCGATGGAGGTGGGGAGATGGCTCTGCACTGCATGCTGCCGTGTCCTTCTCCATGCATCCTTAAAGCAGTGTTAGCACCTTTGTGCAAAGCGCTTCGTAGCAGAAGCCATTACTGAGTACAGAGTATTTTGCAGTGAGGATCTGCTGGTTTGCACGTGTTACAAAGGACAGCAAGCATTCAGCATGTGCCACTCCACGTGCAGTCCGTAAATCCTCTGGCATCCAGCATGTTGCCTTTATCTTAGTGTGTGTCCAGCACTGCTGCACATCCCAGAGTCCTTCCAACTTAATTAATATCTAAGTGATTTGTAGCACCCAAGGTAAGCAGAAGCAGGCAGTTAACCAGCACTAAGTATAGCAGGTGATTTCTCAAATGCTGAGGAATATTCTGTGAGTAATTAATGTTGTGAACTGTATGGGCTACTGAGAAACGTAACTCGTCACTTTGACCACATGGAAAAGAGTGGGCTAACTCAGCTCTAATCTCTGCTCTCAGATGTAATAATTTCACACTCGGTCTAGAAAAAGAAATGTAGAAAACAAGCCAAAAAAGAAAAAAACCCTCCAAGTTTTTATTCTTACCCAGTGCTGGAATTGTGTGGAAGTGGCACAATGCACGTGGAACAAAAGCTGGGCATCACTGCAGCAGAAGCAAGCGATGAGAACAGGATTCAGCAGTGAGGTTTTTAAAATGTGCATTTTAATTAGAACTCATTTAAAGCACGACCGATCAAAACAGTGATAATGAGAGAAGCCTAATTAATTTTTGTCTAAGCAACCGAGCCTCATTATAGAGCGGTCTTGGGGAAGAAAAGGGTTTGGAGTGGTACAAGCAGGGTGTTTGTAATGAGAGGCAATACTGTGGGGAGCCTGGAAGCCAGACCGAAAGGTTTCACAGGACTGCAGCAGCCACTGTATTAATCTTTAAACAGGAAAAGCAACCCTACTGAGATGAGACATCCCATTTATAGCCAAGTTCTGAGCTGCAACCATTGGCAAAGATATTAAAACACAATCAAACAGAATGGCATATTATAAAACAAATATAAATACAATTAAAACCAGATTAAGTAAAAGATCAAAGCAGTCTCAAAAAAGCAGTTTCCAGGGAGTTCAGGGTTCAGACAGCAGAGGAGGAGCAGACGCTCAGAGGTCTGGAGCGCTTCTAAGCACCACGGCCCTAGTTACTTTCTAAGCACTGAGGAAGAATTAAAATGCTGTAGAGGGGGAGATGCTAACTCTGGGTGGTTATACGAAAAGAGAATTGATACACTTTTAAATGGTGGCAACAAGAAGTGCTGCAGCATTTAAATAAGGAAGCCATTTGTAGAGAACAGCAAAAAGAGCTCCTGTCCAAAGGTGGCCTAAGGGCTGCTCCTGAAGGAGTGTGTCAGAAACGGGCTGGGGATGCACAGCCCCCTCAGCAGCCTCTTCTCCACACACACTGCCCCCGGTCTGCAGCACCACCTCCCTCTAGGCATCGCTCTCCAAGAGGAATCAGCGAGCACAGACACAGGTATGAAATGTAGTACAAGACAAGGATTACATTAATAATCATGCTACATGAAGCATCACTTTATACTTCAACATAAATAGAAATTAACTGCTCACTTCTCACGTTGTTTAGCTTTCCAATAGCAAAGTGAGAGGCACCACTTGTCAACAGTTGGATTTACCCTCTATTACCAAGAATACTTGCTTTTCCCCTGCATATCCTTTATTTTCGCTTTTCAATCAGTTTCTTCAGCTTCATGGTTTGTGAGCACTGCCCTGCCAGGGGCAGCCACAACACTGGGTGCCCGCAAGGGGGTCAAGGCAGTGTTCTTAGTCTATATTTCAAGGACTGAATCCGCCCTTCGACTCCTTAATGACCAGCTAGCAGCTTGAGAGAGAAAAGCAAGGACAAAAAAGGACAAGCCAGGTTTGTTTTACAGAATGTCACCCTGGTGTTTCATCCCCTTTTTCCCCACTTCACAAAGAAATTCAACAGGAGACAAATGCATTTCATGGTTTTTAATAATTCTGTGCTATGGTTTAACCACAGCATATTAAGAACAAGCATAAAATCTGTATTTAAAACTAACAACAGCACTTAGAGCAACATCTTCCTTTAAAAGTATTGCAATAACAGACCTTAGGTCTAAAAACTAGGACATCACCATTTGCTCAATTAAAAAGAGTCAGATACACAACAGTTGAAATCTTTTCCTTTATATAACCGGGAGTTACAGTGGAAAATAAGCAACAAATTAATTGTGTTAAAAGGAAAATAAGGTTAAAACAAACAAACAAACAAACAACAAAACTTAAAGCAAATCAGGTTTGTCATAGCGTCACATGAACAACTATTGAGAAATCCCAATACAGTTGTAAAAAAAAAGTACTGTTTTTTAATAGATTTGTTTTTACAACAATAAAATTTAAAAGAAAGATTAAATATTGTTGATAGTGCTGTACATATTTCAGAATAACTTGAAACAAAATGGACAAAAATATAAGAGACGCTGAAAGTGTGATCTTGAAAGCCACAATGTTGGAAATACAAAAAAATCCATACAGCAATAAAGCATTTTACACTGTAAAATAACTAGCAAGAAGCAACAAAGAGAGGGTCCACACTCTAAAACCAGGCATTGGGTGGTTAGTTTTAAGTAAGACAGCCTGACCAATATACATACTGTCATGAAATGCTCTGAGCACAGCAGCATTGGGCAGTTGATAGCTATAAAGATTAAAATCCCTAACAGCGCTTACATAGCCTTGGTACTGCAAGTAGAAAAGGTTGTTCAATGATATTAAGGTGATTTTATTATTATTTTTGCTGTCCAGGCTCTGTGATGCCTGAGGCTCTCCTAATTTCTGCTTATACCTTTTCTAACATCCCGGCTGCCTACTGCGCTTTGTGGAAAATGGCAAAGTGTGAACACGGTGGTGAAGACACTCAGAGTCTGCTCCTGCCACTGCAGCTTCAAGCCAATTACTGCCTCTGGAAGGAGACATGCTCCTGTTTGGTCCACTCAATATGCAAGTTTTGATACGATAAATCACACCTTAGGTTCTTCTAGCACAAGGTTTGCTCTGTAAAGACTCCTGCTAGTCAAGGCCTGGCTTTTTTTGTTTGCTTTTCTTTCTTCGTGCACAGAAGTTGTTCTGCAGCGCAAACAGAGGCGTGACATGGCCAGGCAAGACACACTTCCAGAACAACTGCTCTATGCCCTGGCAAACAATAAATGAGTTAACAAACAACAGTCATAAAATATGCATACTTCACTATGGTACATGCTTACTGATAAAACAGCTCAATAAGAGAGAGGGATGGAGACAAGCTACCTGCACAGGCTTGACGATGTGGAACTGGCCATAAAACGTATGGATTTCTTTAAAACGAAGAACAGAACAGCCACGGTCAACATTCAGACACGGGACACCCGTGGGGGTTTTAAAAAGGTATTTACAGACAAATGCGTAGCTGGAGTTTCAGGTCGGCAGATAAGCCCTGGGGCGGCCAAGGGCTGTGCTCTGAGCCATGGGCTGTGAGCGCTGCAGGTGGGAGCCAGGGGCTGCTCAGCCCGCAGGGCTTCACCACGGCCTTCACCGGGCTCAGGTACGGCCCCTGGGAGTTCTCACAGCACTGGGCTACCACCTGAAAACCAACAAAAACACTACCTCGACGACATCCTGACACACCGCTATGTTACATCTGTGGTTAAAGCCTGACAAGTATAAAAAAGTTACGTACAGACAGGGATATCTATGAGAGATCAGCCGGCATCCATCAGCAAGAGGACTGGTCTGTCTCGGACCGACAAACTTGTACATCACCTACCGTCCTGGGATAGTTAGAACTAACAGCTTAGAAAAATAAGTAGAGTATCTGCAATTCTCTAAAGTAGAACTTCACGTTTAGTTTTCCTGAGGTATTTGCTTCACCGAACAAGCCACATCGAGAGCGCGTGGGGCACGGGGACGTGCGGGGGGACCCAAGCAGCCGGGCAGGCCCGTCCCCTGGCCGGCACCACCCTACCAACTGAAACGCACAGCACAAAGGGCTCCACATCCACACTGGCTCCAACCAGGCTGCGGCCTTCCTTCTGCCATATTACGTATCGACCTGGGCTCAGCTGCTGCTGTCAGCGATCGGCACGGCAGTGGGGCATGAGGAAAGCGAGGCCTCGAGGCCTGCGCTCCGCTCAGCACACAGCGCAGCAGCGGGGAAGCAGCACAGCAGAGCTGGCTGGTTACACGCAAAACTCTTGTTGGCCTCCTTTCCATTTCACGGGGGTGGTCTAGATCGGTTCCCACTTGTCTGAGCTTCACTTCCCATCAAGGACGCAGACAAAAAAAGATCTGAAAGGTTTTAGCCCATTTCTAGGTTAAAAAGAAACGAAAGCAACACCACAACTTAATCAAGGATAATAAATAATAAATCTGCTGGAGAAGTAGTAACGAATACTGGTCCAACTCAGCAATAGCAAGGCAACGACCAAGACAAGAAGCATCTAGCTGCAAGGTTAAAGCTGTGGAGGTTTCGTTTGTTTTGCTTTTTTTTTCCTTTTTCTTAAAGTGACATTTAAAGAAAAAAAAAAAAAGAACAGATCTTCACAGCAAAGATGCATCCAACGACCAGTTGCTATACACAGGTGAGCCAAGAAGGATTTGTTCAAACTTTTTCCCTTATGATATTATATTGATATTTAATAGGAAAATAAAATACATAGACTTTTTGTCATTTGTATGCATTCATTTGCAAATCTTCTTACAAAAGAGGACCAAGCACAGAAGTTGGCATTCACAAAGTCTATGCCATTATTTTGTGTTAAAATTGGTATCATCTATACATTATCTTACAGTATTAACATCTATTTGTTTTTGTGTGTTTGTTGTTCTACCCATTGGGTAGGATATGTGCATAATATATTCAAGTTATACACAGCACCATACAAAAACAAAAACAACAACAACAAAAAAACCCAAACAACGACAACAAAAACTAACAAAACTGGAAAGAAAAAGACAGATGACCAAAAAAGCACCATTGTAAGTGAGGCACAACAAAGGTGGGAGCGCGAGGCCTGACCCAACGCCCCCTGGAGTCAGCAAGAGTCCATCCAACAACGGCACCAGGCATTGAGTCAGGCCCTCAAGTGCAAGGGGATCCCATCTGCTCAGACCTGAACATGAGGCACCTTAGTTGCTTACAAACTACCAACATGCAAACCTCCTCAAAATTATACCTAGCACGTACATCGATAACTCATTAATAACCCTACCAGAGCAGACAGACAAGCACAAACCAAAGAGAGAAAGGAAGAAGAAAAAGAGACAGTTTCATCACCCACAAGATCCTACACATCCCACACCATCTCAGAAAGCTCACATACCAAACCAGGTAAAATAGCAGCAGCAGCAGCAGTAATACAGCAAAGAAATGACAGAGTCATCTCCAGCAGTAAATCACACAGAAAGCGGCTGTTGGGGTGAAGGGGGAACTTTCTGGGATATGAGTTTGTTTCTGCCAACCAACACAAAAATAAGCTCTGCTGGTGCTGAAGCAGAACCAGTGCCACCCAGTTGCTTTTGCTCAGCCTGCAAACAGGGAGAAAACAGCAAGGCAGAAGGAAAAGCTGGGAGAGTTTGCAACAAGTCTCATTACGTGATTATGTTGTTTTTCCTTTGAAAGCAGAATGGCCCTGAAATGCATTTAATGCCAGTGACTCTTCCAAGGGAACACCAGCAGCCTCCTTCCCACCAGCATGATAAAGGACTTCATCCAAACAGAGCTGACACTGACAAGGAAACAGTTTGCTGGAAAGAGACAACTGGCTCCAGCATTGCTCGTGGAGGCTGAATTTTGTGATGCAGCTCCTGCTAATCCCCAGGTGGAGCCATGTCAATAAAATGACTTATTTTTGCTGGTGTGAGTGTGCCCAGTGGGGCTTTTGCCAGCACAGCGACAACAAGCAGAGGTGGGACAGAAGGTAACTTGCACCCCTGACTGATGAACCAACACTGGCAAGCTATTAAATATAAAAAAATCTTACCAACCAACCTTTTCAGCTGCGCCATTCTTAAAATTTTGAGGTTCAGTTTACTAATACAAAATAGAGGAAATACAAAGAACTTGGCCAGGAAACCTCTGTACATCCAGCATACCTTCACAAGGGATTTTTTCACATTCTAAGGGGCCTCAACTGGTCTCAAATAATACAGCGTGAGTCCTCTTTTCCAGGTATTTAAAACAACTGACACATTTGGGGGTAGTTTAGAAGAGCAGTTATAGCCATGCTGGTTGGCAAGCAGGCAACTCAGGCCATTGGGCATTGATTCAATTCTTCCTAACGCCATTTATCTAAAAAGCAAAGATGTAATCAAAAGCCAACCTTCATCCATCCAGTACACTAATATATCCCTTGGTTCTGAGCATCAGCAAGGTTTGAAATAACATGCTTCTGAGATTTAAAGAATGCATGAATTACATTGCTTTGCATAAATCATCACATGAGGTCTACATTAGAGCTGTCCCAAAAACATGAGGATTTTTCAAAGCCCAGCCTGAAAAAGGAGAGCAGTTGGATGGAAGATGGACTAGCATAGCAGGGCATGGGCTAGGATCCACTCAGCAAAACTTCCCAACTGACAAAAACAGTGCACAACAGTCACAGGAGCAAGAAACAAATATTCCTCATGCCTCCCAGTGTGACAAACGATCTGTCATCGCTCCTGGGAGCACGATGCCAGTTAGCATTTCTGGGAGGTGATAATGGAATAGTAATTAATACATAGAGAATGGATGAACAGGTCACAGGCACAATTTTGCATGCAGGTATGTATACACACACATGCACATCAACACAACTCAATGGTAATGACCAGAGAGAGCCTGGGGACAATCGGACAATCATAAATATCTTCAAGTGTACCATCAAGCATACAGTTTAACCTTGGAAAAGGAAAACAAAACCCCCAAAAAACCTACAGAGAACAACTTTAGAACATCCATTTCCACCTGCTTAAATGTGCAGAGCTTGGAGTAAGCAGAATGCTAGCAGCCCATCTACTCCAGAGCATCCCCATGCCCCAACACCAGGGTGTCAGCCTGCAGGCCCAGCACTGCACTGCCTGACAGGACTCATCCAGCACTACACAGCTTCTTCTTCCATCCACAGAAAGCACATTCCTCCTGAAATCTTTTCCTTATGGCGAAGCATCCCACACATCCAGCCCTGCAGGACCACAGGAAAGCAAACAGATGTATTTAGCACCAAGAAGGGACGCATGCCAAGCCGCTAAGGGGAAGAACTAATCTTTGTGGTAGACAGAGGAGAGGTCATGATGCTTTAATTTGTAATAAAAAAAATAATTATTTTAGCCTGAAAATTTCTGAGCTGGGCATATCGGAGTGAATTTTGGGAAGATGGGTTATTCAGCAAAGATCAGGAGATGCAGCCAGAGGTCAGGCTAGTAGGATTGATCAGACAGAAAACTCTGCACATGCATTATATGTTTTCCGTGCACAGTAGAGCACCAGTATGGAGTTGTAATCTACATAATTAACTCTACAAGGCTTACTGAAATCTTTAATAGCTTCCAAAGTCACATTTGAGTGGCTATGGAACCTAATTCTGGGTGTTTTCAAAGCGAATTCTCCACAAATGCTGCAAAGAATCACCAGCATTCAGAGTATACAGACTTCTAAACCTGTAAGTATTAATAACACTATTTAATTTTGTTACTTGTTTCTGGTGCAAAGGCAGATTTCCTCTCACTATAACAACAAAAAAGGAACACACACACTTCTGTAACTTTACATTGTTGCTGGGATTCCCATCAAATACCCTTAATATTTATTCAGAAATATCGCATCTATTCCCGTAAGAGGCCCTCAAATGAAAGCAGTGGATGACAGCTTGCCTGCACCAAGCACCAGGCCATTACAATTCCTTACTGATGGCTGCATGTGAGCTTTGCACAGTAAAACACAAAGAGAAGGCAAAGATGCAGGAAAAAATGCAACCATTAGGTGAGCAAATATTAAGAGTTGTTGTTTTCTCCACTACTTTTTTCTGCAGAATGGGTGAAACGGCTCACATTCTCCACAGAAAAATGTCTTCAATCAAGAAACTGTGACAACCATAATTCCCAAGAACATGAATGGAATACGCAGAAATTCACCAGCATACAGAGATGCCAAAGGATGGCAAAGGGCTGACTTCAAAGAAAGTATGTTCCCCAGAGGTGACCCTGAAGGTAAGTCCAAGGCTCACTCCTGTGAGATCTGCACAGGGGGAGATGCTGGTGTTCAACTGGTCCAACCCCAGGGCCCCAACCAGGCATGCTCAGACACAACCATCGAGTTCCAGCTGTTCTCACCTAAAGGCTTCTTGGCTAAATAACCCTTATTGAGGCAACCGCAAAGGATCTGCGTAGGCACACGCACTGTCTGGCCAAAGCTCACTTCCCAAGGACAGCAAAAGTCACCAAAGACCAAAATCAACACTGGCTGGTCTTGCCTTCTGCAAACATTTCCTAAACTAGCATAAAACCGAATTAGCTTATGAAGAAAACAACCTATGATGAGGCCTACACAACACACGCACACACACACCAAAGACACACACACTGTTTTGGCATTAAAACTCTGCATAGATCAAAGATTCGCCTCAGGTGCCCAGCCAGAAGCCATGCAGAAGTCCTGTCTCTGGCCATAGGAGCCGGCACCCGGTGCATGTGGTGCTTGCACCCGGGCACCAAGCACAAGGCTTCAGGGGGTAGAAAAGGTGAAAAATCGATGACGCGCACACACACACATATATATTAGAAAGTATTCAAACTAAGACTCCATAGGTTCTTACTTTAAGTCCATTTCCAAAATGCATTTTAAGTGCAAGTTGTGCTTTTTTCATGTGCTTGTGCTGCCACTACCACCATTCACCAGCTGCCTTCCAGTGCTGCGTTTGCTCCCACACAAAACAAGGTAGGGAAGAAGTGCCTTGCGCGCCATTTTACCAGCAGGCAAAACCTTCCCATTACTTTTAAGACCAGCATGACAAAAACCAGGCTCATAGATGCTTCATTACTACACGAGTGACCTCCATCCATAAGCACAGTCCTGCTGGCGCCCACGAGACGACGTGCACAGAGGAGGGCTCCCACCACAGCCTCCAGAGCTGAAGGCCAACACTTAGCGTGAACGCTCCTGCCTGCCAGCCCCGGCACTGCTGTGGAGGCCACGCGGGGGTCACAGCCACAAAGGCCCATTCACTCCAGCGGGATGGACTGCCAGGGCTGAACTTCAGTATCTAAAAGATGCAATGGAGAGCGCAAAGCACAACAGAGTCTCACATATGTTAACAGCATTGCAGGGGAAAAAACCCACCCTGGGTTTTTAAACAATTTATTGCATAATGTCATGATATGTGACTAAATACACTTCAGGCTACAGTGAGAACAAAAATCTCTAAAACCTTAAGTACTGGCGATACTGCATTATGAAAAGAATGGCAGCACTTTGTTAGGATTAATACAAATCAACACATCTGGGTTTTTGTTTTGTCTTTTATGAAACAAACAAGTCTAAACTGCAAAATAGCTAAACTCTAAGTGATGGAAAATGCTGGGATGTCACATTTGCCTTCTTCCATCCGAAAGTCACCAAGACACTTCAGTGATGCGCTGTTACTCAGATGCAAATTATTGCAAAGTCAACAAGTTAAGTGTCCCTGTATTTCTCGATTTGTGTAAGTCAAGAGATGTTAGGCTAAGTCCTGTCCCCTTCTCTAGCAAACCTGGGGGGGGAGGGGCAGACTCCTCCAGATCACTTCTGGGGCTCAATTGTTATTCCACAGGTGAAAAGACAACATATAGAAGAACTTCACATAAAACAGTTCCCTCATATATAATTTTTAAAACATTAAGATAGTGCAACTTTTTAAAACACATTTATCACAACACAAATTAATTCCTTGCATTCATCTAAGTTCTCAACTTTATACCTTGGCACACAAAACAGGAATTTTGATTCATATTTAAAAAAAAAAAAGCACACCCTGGGAGAAAAAAAAAAGCAAACTGGCCAATTCTTCCCCCATTTAACTAGCAAAACCTTCGTCTTTCTGCCATTCAGTGAGTACAAAATCGGCTGTACAAGCCTCATTTCTGTGCTAAGTTTACTTTTTAGAATTAAATAATTGAAATAGTTTATTAAAAAAAAATAATATATTCCCCTTCCCCCCACCCCCCGAAACACTGCTCATAGACAATTTGAATGGAAGTTTATATTTCTTTCGATCTGCTTTGCATGCAATTCCCCTGAAAGGAATCAGAAACAAACAACTGGTTTGCACGTTTGGTTTTACTAAAGTTGTACCATGTGAAATGTAACAACATTGTGCACCGGAGCACGGGGCTCTTCCTCCGCCGCCCTGCTTCAATCTCTTGTCTTCAGTCCAAATGCACCTCGGAGAGTGAGTTAGACCAGGTTCCCTGGTTTCCGGTCTTGGCCTTTGCTGGGGACAATTGTGCTCTCTGAATTGTTCTGCTGAAACTGAAGTCTGCTCCCCCTCTGCGAGGAAGGAGGAGCATTGCTGTGCTGGTGATGGAAAAACGAGGAGCCTGGGTAGTGCCCCATGACCTCGCTGTACGTCGGGGGTGGTCCTTCCATCCTTCCATTACTGCTATAGTTGGTTGCACTTATGCCCGAATTGCTGCTCGGTGGGCAGGGGCCCCCATTGTACATGGAAATGTCTATCAAGTCGCTATCAAAAATGGTTCGGTTGGGCGGTGCCCTGACAGATTCCCGGTTGAGCTCCATCTGCTGCTCTGGGTCCCGGAGCTGAAGGGTGCACGGGCCTTGGTATGGTGGCGGCTCTTCCCCATCCGAGAGGGAAATGGTTGGAGGAAGGTCAATCTCATGCTGCATGTATGGGTAAGTAGGCTGGAAGCGACTGAAACGGTCCCGCTGCATAAAAGATGGGGCGGTAAACCTGTCCCTGGACCTTGGAGCATACATAATCTGCAATGGGAAGAGAGAGAGACGTGACTCCACAGCTGAACAAAGCACTGAGGGCTCTCCGTATTGATGAAGAACTAATAGACAGAAAATGCTTCTATCATCTATCTCAGAGGTTCGATCCCACAGGTATTGTGTGTGCCTGCTTCCACACACACTCATGGAAAAGAAGAGGTAGGAGTTCAAGAAGAATCTAACACAAGATATTGCAGAACAGCTTCAAGAAAGACGATCCTATACAGCTCCTTCTAACATTAAAACATGCACAGCTAAGATAAATGAATTCTGCTTCTGTACATAGGAAACATTCCAAATTATTTTCCTCTCTAGTCTTGACTATTAAGTAGTTCTTCAAAAACTTCTTCAAAAATATTGAACTTTAGCTGCAGCCTGAGCCTACACCTCCTACTCCAAGTTAACCTAACAGCCAGCACTAACAAAAAATTCATATGGTCACTTTAGTATATTTTGTGAAGGTCTCACGCCTTCACTATGAGAGCAGAGCAGCTGTCCTCCTCCTCAGCTCTCAGCCTCTGGGGAGGATGTCTGCACTGGGAGTTGAAAAACTATCTCTCGCATATTAAGCACTGGAGAAGGTCAGGATTTACAAGAGGAAGAGTTTGAGATAGTCTGTGAGGAGCTATTGCTTCTCACTTGATCCATTCCAAATCTCGACAGACACACCGATTTCTTAGATCTACATCTATCAAACTGCTCTTTTAATTTCTGGGTCCCACAGGGTCCTTAGTCCCTGACCCACACAAATGCAGTGTCAGCTGCACAGGAGAGCTGGGCCACTCAGGACAGCGCACCCACAAGTTACCACACAGGCCCAGGATCTGTGGTGGCCAGAGGCTGGGAAACACTGGTGATAGGGAATGTGCATACATTTAGGAAAAATACAGAGAGAAAAACAACAGGTCTCCTATATTCCACTGAAAAATTACTGAGCCTCTGCACGTCACTTACCTGCAAATGTCTACTAAGTTACAGGGAGCTGCTGATAGAGATGAGGCATCAGACAGCCAGAATGTCATTCTTTTAATGAAAATGTCTTAGACATTTAAAGAATGGAAGTTAAGACAGGCTCAGATGTCCACATGAATGTGATACTTGATCTACGCTCCAAGGCCTTATTTACTAAGTAGATGCATGTTTTAAGAGAAGGCAAATGCACATTATGCCAAAGATGGTAAGAAATGTCACTGTACCTCTGAAGCACCCTGGCGTGAAACCGAGCTTTCCGAAGGCCACAAGCACCCTTCCTGCAATGCAGAAGGCAACAACACATGAGAAAAATCACATGACAATCCTGCCTCAACACCACAGTGAGCTTCTAACCATTGGTTATCCACACCTAAGGGAAGTCCCAACCCTTGCTTTCTATAAGTAGAACAAACAACAGGTCTGCATGCAGGTTGAGCTCAGTGCACTGTGAACGTGCAGAGACACCAGCCACAACAGCCAGCCTCACAAACCACAGGGATGCAGCAGGCCAGTCCCAGCCGCATGATGGAACGTGGCTGCCATGAGGTCTGATGAAGCTCGTCCTGCTGCCCAGTGTCCTGATTACACAAGCAGTCGAAACAGTGCACAACAAAACCTGATGACTCCTGTCATGTCCCATGGAGAAGGGACATTTGCTCTACACACAGGAATACCCTGGTCAACACTGACAGGTCTTCGATTCCCACCATAAATCAGCAATGAAACTAGTTTCAGCCACCAGTTCCCCTCTTCAGGCACTTCCCAGCCACCTTCCCAGGCCAAAGTGTTTTTTCTCTCAACCCCCGGCAGCCTCTTTTAGTGCTGTACCCCGGGCAGAATAAAAGGGTGAAGAAAAAGTTGTCAGTAAGGGAAAACAGCTTCAGGTGTACTGTTATTTTCCTTCTCAATTAATTTTTTAATTAGTTAAAATGTACTGCAATTGATTTATTTTACTGGAAAACTTCAAAGCTGAAAAGGACACACTAGAGAAGCTACAAAGGACAGAATTTCAACCTTACTGGAAAAAAATCAAAACAATACACAGTTGCGAGCATTTTCTTAGTGCTAAGTAAACTTGCATGATTTTATAGGCATCAGAAATTTCAGGAAGGAAAATGCACACTGCAAATCCTACTGTACAGCTTTTTCTCACCAGAGCATCTTTGAACATATTTCAGATGTAAAAATAGACCTAACTAGATGTTCAGCATGGCACTCAGAGACCAAAACCGTCTGTGATCTTGTCAGGAGAGTCCACCACAGAGGAAAGCTGTTCTGGGAGGAATCTCCCATAGGATTCAGCTGTTAAGAGAAATGCTTTGAATAACAAAGCCTGTCAGTCACTTCTTTTCTGTAGCTATAGAGAGTAGATAAAGAAGGCTGACAATTTAAGTTATTTACAATTTCCTTTTGCAAGTTTCCCCACTCACTAACACCTATTATGAAGGAAGAATCTTAGGTAGATTCATGTACAACAGTGGCTATATAAGATTTTGCTAACTACTGTAACTGCAGTAGTTCAAGTTACACCAGTATCCACCTTCCTTTACACCTCTCCATCACCTAGATGCCCACATTTTGAAATATCTGAGGGTGTGTTTGCACAATTACAGGCAATCAAGTTATCAGCAGCTGGCCAAGCAGGCTCCAAGCCTATTGCAATTCAGTAAAATCTAGTAGTCAATGCTAAAATGCCCAGTTAACAACCCATGGGCTGCCATTCAACAGCAAGCTCCCAAGTGTGCGGCTTTATGATTCGTGCCACTTTCTCTCCTTTAAAGCATTCAGGTTCAGAAGAGAGAAAAAAGCCAAAAGCAAAGACCCAGCCCAGAAAGGAATTCAATCCACCTCCAACATTCATGTTACTTAAAAGTCACTTCAGAATGTGTTGCCAGTGTGAAAGCGGAAGTGATGACCCCCATCCTATTACCCACTTAAGGCAGGAGACTGAGAAGAACCAAGGATATGGCACAGTGTGGAGCAAAGCTTTCCACACACACACAGTAGGACCTGCATACTGCATCTTGGCACACAGAACCAAGGATGAGCCTTGGAATCAGCAGCATCCAACAGAATGTACTTCTAATGCTGATGTCTGACAAGAGAAGGCACTGCAGCTACTGCAGGGACATGCAGAAAGCAAGTAGGGTGCTGGGATCCCAAAACCAAGAACAGGGGTTCAGTCTTGCTGTGATTCTTACTTAATGCATGTACAAGTTTTAGAATCACAGAATCACCAAGGTTGGAAAAGACTTTCAAGATCATCCAGTCCAACCATCCACCTATCACCAATAGTAGTGTTGAAGGACTAAACCACATCCTTCAACACAAAATCCAACCGTTCCTTAAACACCTCCAGGGTCAGTGACTCCACCACCTCCCTGTGCTCATTCCAGTGCTTGACCACTCTTTCAGAAAAGTAGTATTTCCTAAGAAATGAACAGTGAGAGAGGCAAGGAGAAAGGGAAGGAGTTGGCAGGATCACCCACACTCAGCTGTAAAGGAATCCTTGAACCCTTCTAGAATAGGAACTTACTGCACCGTGACCTGCAATGCCAAACAAACATGAAGAGGGGCATCCTGAGCTCCACTGATCTTGGAGTGATGGCAAGGGGTTCAGAGGAGAAGAAAGGAAAAAATCTGGTGCAGCAGGATGGAAATATCCCGAAGACCTTTCTTCAGGGTGCAGGAAAAATGAAATAATGTGGGACTGCCATGAACAATCTGGGCTGGCTGGTTGCTTTACACAAAGAGAAGGTGTTATTTCTTGCTCTCCCCTTGTGTGTTTACTTGCAGACTTTCATTTGACAGCTAATATGATTCCATGTGGCCAGATCAGCAAAACACAAGATAGCATTTGTATTTATATTCTCTTGTTCTGAGGACCCAATCTTAAGGAAACCCGAAACAAAGTCAGCACTACAAATAAAAGCAGATCATTTCTTTTTTGCTATGTGAGTTCCAGCATCGTCCTTCAGGCTGGGCGTATGAGAGGAGAGACGGCTGGCAGTCCTCACGTCAGACCACCACAGGCACAAGGAGCTCTCAAGTGTGTCAGTGAGGGCTAAGCCTGAGTACCTTCCACCTATGCTTCTTCTGTGGGCCATACAACACCTCCCTGCTTTTTGTAGGTACTTGATAACCTCAGCCACTTCAACTTGCTCCTTCTTAGGACTGAAGGTCTGCAGGCGTGAGCTTCAATATTTATAAGTGAGAAGGAGGGAAAGCTCAAGCACTCATCCCCTGTGCCACAATCATTTCTAACACTGTTAGGTTTTGAAATAAGGATATAAGTCTTCATGGTAAGTCCTAGTGCTTACAGTTAACACTAGAGTAAGCCAAATTTTAAGGCTGCAGGTATGGCTTTGGCTGACCTTACCTGCCTCTGGGCTTCATGAAAATTTACAGATATACATTTTAAGATTAGGCTTTGAAATATCAGCATTACCTACTAAATCCAACAGGGATTTCTTGATTGTCTTGTGGTGATGATTAGTCAAGGTTTAGAATGTAGGATGCTGGATAAACCTAACTAACTTGCTTTAGTTGTATTTTATGAACATTTATAGCTTCAGACTTCCTGAGGCTGCATTTAAGCACCGTGCTTCCTGCAGCTCTCACTGCCACCCAACTTCCATGGGTCAGCATCAGCATACTGATGGCCAGGGGGAAAGAAATGTACTGGAGGAGGAATTTTTAACTCAAGATAAATTGCAGGTAAAAATGTATGCTCTGTAAGATAAACTCCTCAAACTGTAATGAAGCTAAACCAAGCCATACCATCTCAAATTTGCTTATTTACTGAATCCCTTAAGGAGATTTTTGGTTTTTTTTCCACTTTTTTCAATGTCTGACACTTAGAACTCTGCCTGAAATGTACTTCCTGAGAAACAGAAGTCAGCACTGCACTTGCTGAAGTGCATTTCAAAGAATCAAAGAGCCACAGAGGTTGGAAAAGACCACTAAGACCATCTGGTCCAACCACTGGCCCACCACCACCAAGCCCACTAACCATGCCCCTCAGTGCCACATCCACACAGTTCCTGAACACCTCCAGGAACAGTGACTCCACCACCTCCCTGGGCAGCCCATTCCAGGTACTGAGAGCGTCTCACTTTTCCCTTTGATTTTATATAATAAAACATGAACAGGTATACATAACATTCACATATATGTACGTATACACCTCTGTTTTGCAGGTGAAGCGTTAAGCAGGCAGTGCAGTGCAGTTTCTGACTGCGGCCCTAGGTGGCAGTGCCATATTACACCACACTAAAGCAGCGCTCTGGGAACACACACACACAAGTCCCCACCACACTGCCTCTTGGCCAGTGCAGTCCATCAAAGCTCCTAAGATGCAATACTTTCTGTCTTAGATACGAGCAAGGCAAAACTGCTGCTTTGTCCCTAACAGAATGACAAGCACTGCAGCCAGGCTGCTCTTTGCTTTAAGATCTGCATTTCCCAAAGGCGGGAAAGGTTGCAGTGTCTGGCAGAAGGGCACACGGCTCCAACCAGGGGTTTGAGAATGACGGAGAGTCTGACTCTTGCTCTTACTCTGCCTCCTGAGATCTGCAGTGCTTATTTCTGTTACTTGATGCTTTAAGGCCTTTATTTTTCCCCAACTTCACAACACTTTTCCACTTCGCTTCTGGAAGTGAAGGAAACAAACATTATTATACTTTCTTTAGGTTAGCTGTTAGGGAGAAATTCTTCACTCATAGGGTGGTGAGGCTCTGGCACAGCTGCCCAGAGAAGCTGTGGTGCCCCATCCCTGCAGGCGCTCAAGGCCAGGTTGGATGGGGTCCCAGGCAGCTGAGCTGGTGGGGGCAGCCCTGCACACAGCACAGGGTGGGGCTGGGTGGGTTCTGAGGTCCCTTCCAACCCGAGCCATCCTATGGTTCCAGTATTTAGAGATGAAGCAAGTTGCCCAAGGACACACTGAGTCAGTAGCACTCAGGAGTCAGCGCTCCTTGCTTCAGGTCCCACCTGTAGATCTCCTCAATGCTGCTTTTCTTATTAAAGGTGTTCTGACTTCATTGTGGTGAACTTCAAAGAGCAGCAGCTAGAACACGCTGTCTTTCCCAGCAGGCAGGAGAACACAGTGTGCACCCAGCTCCTGCCAGCTGATGTCTGGCACAAAGGAAGAGGTTTGGCCAAGCAGGGTGGCCTCTCCCATCTATGCTTTCCTCTGGTCATACACTTGGGTTCTCATTGGCACTGGGATTTTCACAGTTCTCACTCTCCTGAATTTCCATTTTTATTTGGAAAGAGCAGTTCTGGGACAGCACACAGCACTTACATGCCCGTGCTTGGGGGCCTGGACACTCAGGACAGACCCCAGTGGCAGCAGACCAGCGTGAACATTCCACACTTCTTCCCCATTGATTTGGTAAGAGACAAAGACATAATGACAGAAGCCACCAAGACGGGAGGGAGAAATCCATTTAGCGCCATCAGAAGCTCATTAAGCACCTCCCCACAAGTCACTTCATGAATCAGTTCTCCCTCAACGTCCCCCTGGAAATCACGGGTGATGACACTCCGAATTAATCACCACCAAGCACGATTCATCTCAGTACTGCCCCGGCGTCTGACACCACCTCAGCTCTCCCACAGCACAGCAATTGCCTGCACCCCTGGGACGTGCCTTTCTGGGGCTGCCGCGTAGCTCCATTCCAAAGCCGACAGTGGCTTTTCTCCAGCGACGCGGCCCTGACCCCACCTGCTGCCACTGGGCTGGCCAGAAGGGGGAAATGTTTAATATTTCATTTGCTGCGATACAGACACCACTTACGCCAACACAGCTGGTGCTCAACAGTGCTCATGGTTCTCTCCCCCGAGCTTGTATTTCTGCTCATATTAAGACCGCGGTTAAACTCCATATCAGCTGTTGCAGCAAACAGGGACTGTGTGTTTTTAAGGTTTGTGTGTTTTAATATCCACACCAGGAGACAGCATAGTTTGAATCTTGGCAGAAAAACCTAGTACTTCTGAAAGCTCAGAAGTCTGCCCGTGTCCTGCTGTGGTCTGCTTAAGGCCTCCACACAGCAATCAAGGAAATAAGAGAAACACAGACAGACCAGGGAAAAGATGAGAATGTGGTAAGGCTCTAGAAAGGAGGAACAAAAGGAAAAAAAATAAAGCTAACGTTGAACCAGTGGCCATACAGAAAAGTGTATCTGCAGAACAAGAATGCAAGCACCACTTCTTGGGAGGTAACTATTGTATTTTATGAGATCAGTCCCTTATCGACCCTTTGAGTGTTACTAACAGCTGGGATCCCAGTGATATTTCATCTTCTTTTTAATATTCTGATCTCTGAAAAATGGGAATTTCAACCTCCAGGCCCTTTCTATTTTTCTTTTAACATGAAGAAAGTTCAGACAGACGAAGCAGAAACCCACAAACACAAGCATGCGTTGCATTTCATTATTTTGAAGCCCATGGGTTTTACAGGTGTAAGGCTGGTGATGAAGGTGACAGAGATCTCACCCTTTCATGGCTGCTGTAGATCTAAAAGGCAGCAGAATGAAAAAGAGGGGCTGTGGGCCAACCAGACCATCAGTGCAATTCAGTGACAGCTCAGCTGCTGGAAGGCACCATTACCAGAGATAGGCCAGGACCAAAAGCAAGAGGCACGGCTTAATGTAGCACAGGCATGGAGAAAATAAAGCCCAAATGAATAGCAAAGGCAGGATCCAGCTACACCTCTGCAGCCTCAGCCAGGTAGGGGGTTTTCTCCACATGGCTCACTGCAGAACTAGCCAGCTCATTTACTGTGCTCTTTTAAAAAATACTGCTGAACTTCCTCTGTTTTCATTCACCATTTCTCTACCAACAAAAGGCCTGAGTCAGAATGACATTCCGTGGACACATTAGTGGTTAATAAACATTTAAATCCATATTCAGAGTCTGAACACCACAAAAAGCCTGTTCCCTTGGGAAAAAGCCCGCTTCCCAACAGCACTTGCACATAGACCAGTGCCTGTCTGGTTAAAACACTGATGCATATTACTGACCCCCTGTCTGACAGCACATGCTACCACAGAACCATGAAATGGCTTGGGTTGGAAGGGACCTCAGAGCCCACGCAGTCCCACCCCCTGCCATGGGCAGGGCTGCCCCCACCAGCTCAGCTGCCCAGGGCCCCATCCCACCTGGCCTCGAGCACCTCCAGGGATGGAGCCACAGCTTCTCTGGGCAGCTGTGCCAGCGCCTCACCAATCTCTGAGTAAAGAACTTCCTCCTAACAGCTAACCCAAATCTCTGCTCTTTTAGTTTAAAAACATTCCCTTTTCTACTATCACTACCAGACCATGTAAAAAGTTGTTCTCTCTCCTGTTCATAAGCTCCATTTAGGTTCTGGTAGGCTGCAATGAGGTTTCCTTGGAGCCTTCTCTTCTCTGCCATCTATTGACCTCGTGCAACCTGCTCTGGACAGCAAGACCGGATGGGTGCCTTCCAGTCTCACAACACCAGACAAATACTTCTGTTTCCTGACTGTCAGACACTGCACGCTACTTCTGTGGTCTGTGCTGCAAAGAGCACACAGCTGGTTTCTGCCAGAATTTCCTTCTAATGCCTAAGACAAGGGAGAACTCAAACATATTTGACACCTGACCTCAAAGAACTCTCAAGTCCTCTTCCCCACATAAATGGCATTTTTTTTAATAATGACTCCAGCTTACCAGAAACCAAGATGAGTAACTGTGGTGACAAACCCACACCAGTCAGTTTTCAGAAGAATAAATAACCAGTTCTTGCCAACCCATTATCAATTCCTACGAAGTGCGCACTTGACTGATCACCATTTCTTACAAAGGTGCCATCAAAACGAAACTGAGTCAGAGTTTTAAAAAGGACTGAAGAGCAGTTTTGGATACTAAAGCAGCTGCTGAGTCCTCACTGTCAAATCACATGTCCTTATTTGCAAGAAGATGATGCTTCCTCCCTGGTTTCCAAGAGAAAAGGCACCATTCACTCTAATAGCAGTCAGTACTAACGAACCATGCACAGGAAATAATGGGTTACTTCATGCATTTGACAGCTTACTGCCATTTTAAAAGATTTGTGAAGATGAAAATGTGTTTCCTTTATCTGAAATCATGTCATTTTAGGCACTCATAGCAATTATAGCTAACATTTTCTGGACAGAAGTGTGATTCTTGAATTAGTGTGTCCATTTCAAAGAAATTCTTGAATTAATCCAGTCAATTTTTCCAGTTCAGAAGTCAACAAGGTTAAGGTTTCACAAGCTCTAGTTTCATCTGTAACCAAATTAGAGCCCAATACTCCTGAAGAATGGAGAGATAGGCAGCAAGGCTACCTCCTCTCAAGGAGGTGGCTCCTCTCCTCCCCTACAAGGTGGAAGAGTCACCTCAGTGGAAGAGTGCTAAAAAAAAAACCAATTTGTTTTCAGCCAGATTGGCCCCCTGAAGTTCTCACTATGTCCTTCTGATAAGGAGAACAAAGAACAAAGGGAAAGACTCAACTGGTGTGGAAAGAAGGGTAGTTTAAGCTTCACTAGACTGAATACTAATTTAGGCTATCAGGGACTGTGCCTTCCGGTTGCCATCATACAGTTGCTTTGCCAGAGAAACAGAGTGAAAAGGTGGAACGAACAGAGCTGCCAGGAACTCAATGCATCACCAAGCGAACCTCACAAACTGCTCTGTGGCCATCATGGCCAGCAGAGAAACCAAGGACACTGCTCAGAGGATGCCAAAAAGCACATCAGAAAAAGGGTCTCCCTACTACATCATGGGATGCTTCAGCAGCGAAGGCCCAGAGGGACACCTCTAGGTCAGGGATGCTCTGTGGTTAACCCCAGCAAGGAAGCGGTGCAACCCATCCATCAAACTTCCATCTCACAAGGCAAGTTAGGTACCCACGTACTGCTGAGTTGACTATGGACGGCCTTGGCGAGTCCTAATATTTCACATTTTTCTGGGCAACTACTGGAAAAGCTCCGGATCCAGTAAAGTGTCTCTGCAGCTCCATAGAACAGTAACAGTGGTAAAACTCCAGGACATTAGTAAATACACAAGAAGTCACAACATAAGTCAGTTCTTCATATCCAAGGAAGTAAATGGCTTTGTTTCTCCTTCATTCCTTCCCAAATCACAGCAGAAAACAGTATGTCACACCTGAACCTCCAAGCATATAATGACAATATACTACATAGAACATAGCAGGGCCTAAAAATACTCAAAGGCAGCAAATTTTAAATTTACATTCTATTTTTTCCACTGACAAATGCAGCTAACTATAGGAAACACTAAAACTGACAGTAGAGATTTTTAAAACAGTTGCATGTATCAGAGCTTCTCTGCAGCCTCTGATGCAGATGAGCACAGCGCGAGAAGGAATTAGGTAGCAGAGTGGGTACTCACTGTCTGCAAAGTATCCTCCTGTCTTCTGCTTTGGCTCTGACGGTTGATAAAGGAGCGTGTCGAGAGTTTGTAATGGTTCAACAAGCAGATGATCACTACCACCATAACAGTTATAACCACAATGATAATGATGATTTGAACAAACTCCAGTTCAGCTAAAATGAAGAAGAAGAAAAATACGTCAGTCACACACACAATGTAATTCATCACAGAAATAACCTGAAAACACTCCATATTTCATCAGAATCAATGCTGTCCATTTTGCAAAGTTTTGCAAAGAAAACTGTGCCCTAGAACAGTGTGATTTTTTTCCATTGTATTGCACTGCTAATCAATTCATTTGAGTGGCTGCAAGTCTAAGGTAAGAAATTTCTCAGTGATCCTTCACTGCTGCCTTTACTGGTAACAGTCTTCAGCACAAACAATTCTTCTGCAAAAACAAAACAAAATGAAGCAAATCCCCTATTTTAATCACCACCAGCATCACCATGAGAAGCCAGCGGGCTCAGTAAGCTTCAAAGCAAAGCTCACAGACCGAGGCCACAGGACACGGCACCCAGCATTCCAACAATCCACGCTGTGCTGCTGGATCCAAAACCAAAAACAGGAAGATTGAAGGGGGAAAGTTTAATTTTTATCAGCTAAGTTGTATGAAAGCTGTCCACTGAAAGCCACCTTTTTCACTGACTGGATCTATACAAAGTACCTTGTCCAATTACTTACTGCTCTTGAACTAGAAAAGAACTAACTTTTCTAGGGCATTCCCATTCAGGTATAAGTCTAAAAGAGCTCAGGCACTCAATACCACCACAATTACAAAGAAACCAGGCTCTTAGTGAACACCACCAGAGCCCACCACCATACTCAAAGCTCTGTTCATACCACTAAGTATATTTAGAAATGAGTCACTTGCATTCACTTTTGCACCCTCCCAGCTATAGCAGAGCAGCATGGATGAGCAACCTAAGGAAAGAAGTTGCCCTTTGGAAGCTACAGTTGCTGGTATTTCTATGGAAACTGTGTTGCTTGCTTCTCATCTTGAATGACAACCTTGGTTAATAGGTCTCAAGCAAAAGCAAAGAAGCAACAGGAGTTGCTTGGTTCTCAGCACCTTGCAAAAATCACACCACTTTTGGGAACAAAAACATGAATTTGGAGGAATCAATATAAAATTATTGCTTTAAAAAGCCAGTGAGGGAAGAATGACACCGAAAAAAGGAGAAAAAAAAGAAAAAGCCAAAGCAAACATCAGAGAAAACAAGTCTGTTCTCTCTTATCACTTTCATTTGTAGTCATTCTCAACCTTCTATGCAATACCAGTAGCTGAAGCTTACACAAGCATACTGCCACTACAACAGCGAGCTAAAATCACGTCTTTTGCACACTCAGCATTGCATGTGGTGGAGCTGGAGGAAACCCGAGGCGGTCTCACTACTCTTGGACCCGTGGCCAACCAACCCCCATACCTAAAGAGCCAGGAGCACACTGCTGCCCAGGGGGACTGGTGCTGAGAAGCGCCCAACACAGGCTTGCCACAGCTGTAGTTCAGAGTTTGTGGCTACCATGCATCAAAATGGTTTCTCTGACCCGAAGTCTTTTGGCTTCTCCCCCCCTTTGGTCCATGCAATGCTTTAGTCTGGAAACGGAGAGAGCGTTGCTAAAGGGCACCACGCAAAACTGGCAATGTTGATTTAGGCTTTCCTAGAATGCAGAGATCACTGGAATGGCACGTTACTTCTCTGTGCCAAGGGCACTCTCCTACACTGGTCGAGGCCCCGCATTTCGGCGGCAGAGGACGGCACCTCTCCTTTGGGAACCAGCGGTTGGGGCTGTGCGCACTTCCCTCCGGGGAAGGCGGGGGAATCGCCGGGACGCGCAGGGCTGTAACACTATATGCGGCCACGCGATAGGATCGCGGCACACACGCATGAGCACATGGGATTTTCCAAGCTCAGCCTTCTGTCGCTGACATTAGAACACCACAAAGCATCCTGCTGCTGTTCCAGTGGAGGGGAAGAGGCGTTTAACCTCCTCTTCCTCCTGCCCCTCGGGCTCACCAGCGGGTTATTAATAGGAAAAGGGAAAGAGCAAAAGGCACGGGCTGAGGCCGTCTGCGTTCGCTGGCACCGCTCGCGGCAGGGGAACGGCTCCTGGCGTTTGGGCACACGCACTTGGCACGCGTGCGGGGGGCGAGGGACCCCGGTGACGTGTGGCAGCCCCCGCGCTGCCTTCCCGGCACGGCTTTGTCCTAATATGGACTTTTTCCATAAATAAAGTGGGGGAGAAGGCAGGGGGATAGGGAAACGGGACATTTTCACCTCCCGGTATCCGCCCCATGCACGGACAGGCACACTGCTTCACATGCAGCAAACAACACTTGTATCACGTTTTTGTTGGTTTTTGTTTTTTTGGTTTTTGTTTTTTCCCCCCCAGAATAATACTTTTCCTCACGAAAAAGTCAAGCGTACATGTAATGAAAACACCTTCACAGAGAAATACGAAAAAGACGAAATCATTTATTGCCCTATCCCTGCCCGTGCAAGTGGGAAAGCCCGGCTCGATGCCCGAAACCACCCTCTGAAAGCCGGCTGCGCCCCGCGAGCCCTCCGCCGCGTCCCGCACTGCCTGCCCCGCGCTGCCCGTCCGAGGGAGCTCCCGGAGCAACGCCCGCGCGGCCACGAACGACAAGCGAAGCGGGAGTACCTCGTTCCAACAACAGGTCTCTTAACCGTGCATCCTTCACCGCGGTACTGTTAAGCTGCTCCCTGGACATACTGTGTCCGCTGGGAAAGGAGGGCCTCCGCGCCCCGCATCGCCCGCCCGCCTCCGAGCTGCGCCCGGCTGCTCTGCTGTCTGTCTGTCTGTCTGCCTGCCTGCCTGCCTGTCTGTCTCTGCAGACACCAGGCGGAACGCGGCTGCCCTCAGCCCGACCGCGCTTAACGATCAAACCGTCTCAGCCGGTTAAATGCGCTTCCTAGGCTCTAGCTGGAACCAGATGCAAAAATCATAATTGGAAAAAAAGAAAAAAAAAAAAAAAGAAGAAAAAAAAAAGAAAAAAAAAAAGAGAAAAAAAAAAAAAAGAAAAAAAAAAAAAGAAGAAAAAAAAAAAAAAACAGCGCGGGGAAACGATCCGCAGCGCTCCCGGCCCCGCTGCTCCCGCCCGGCCCCGCACTCCCCGCCCTCCCGCGGGCCGCGCACGGGGGATCGCGCCGCAGAAGGACGGACGGACGGACCTTACCGCGCAGCGCCGCGCCGCTCTTTAAGCCGCGGCCGCCCGGCGCCCGGCGGAGCCTCCGCGCCCTCCTCCTCCCGCCCGGCCGCTCCGCCGCCCCGCGCCGCCGCTCCGCGCCCGCCTCCGCGCCCGCCTCCTCCTCCGCCCCCGCCCCGCGGCGGCCCCGCGCCGCTCGCCTGGGGGAGCCCGCGGCCCTCAGGGCCTTGGGGGCCGCCCGTCCCCGGGTGGGGGTCACCCGGCGCTGAGCCGCCATTACCCTCGGCGAAGGCGGCTCACCGCCGACGCCCTCCTTTCCGGCCGTGGAATGAGAGGGGCCGCGGAAGCTCGGATGCTGAAGCGGTGCGCGATGATGCGACGCCGTGGGGAGAGACGCGGGGTTTACGATATTAGGGAGACGCATCCTGGTGTGATATTGCAAAACGAGAGCCGCCAAAAGAAATAATCCATAAAACCTCAAGCCATCTACACGCAGAAATTAAAAAAGGAAAAAAAAAAAAAGAAAGAAAAAAAAAAGAAAGAAAAAAAAAGAAAGGAGGGGGAGGGGAATGAAAAATACCACAGATTTTGGTCTCGTTTCACGTGTCGTTGGCATGACTCCCAGCCGCTGCCTCCCCTCAGCCCCTCCGCCTGCCTCGGCCCCAGCACAGAGCTGCCTCTGCTGGCGGATGCCGGGGCACAGCTTCACCTCTAAGCCATTACTTCTGCAGGCAGGAGGGTGCTCAGCCCCCGCTCGGTGCCCGGGATGGGCAGCAGGCCGCTGTGCAGCCCCATGCCCTCCCACAGCATGGCTGCCATGCTATGAACCCCAGGAACCGCTCTGGGCTGCATGGCGACAGTGCTGCTCCCCACAAGCCCCATGGCTGCAGACCCACAGACCAGCCTCAGGAAACCAAACCAACTTGGAGTCAAGGGGTGAAAGCCGAGAGAGGAAAAACCATCCCAAGTCAGTTGCCCGTCAGGTCAGCACAGCCATGCAGACAGACCTTCCCACATCCCCGCTGCATGGGGCTGGGCCGCTGGGTGCACCAATGGCTTTTGGCGCTGAACAAGTGTCAGGTATCCCACCAAGCTGCCCTGTCAGCACCAATGGGGACCTTGCTTCCTTCTCAGGTTCCCTGCCTGGTGGTGAAGGTCCCACCCGGACCCATCACCCATTGTGCTGGGGAAAGGGCTGGAACTCCCCAGGCGTACTGAGTCGCAGTGCTTCTCCGCAAACCACCCCAGTCTAGCACCTTAATGGGAAAGCCGAGGGCTGGTTAAACTGGGTAGGACTGAGGTGCAATATTTTAAGGCTAGCTGTAATGATCTGTCACCTGTCTCCTAGTGACCGTGGAAACAAACTAATTCTGCAACCCACAGGACCTGCTTTTTTATTTTACTCATACTAAAGATGGTAATCTCTGAAATGGAAGAAAACACAATCTCTGCTGAGCAAAACTGGGAAGACGCTGTTTTCTCAATATGACTATCCCTTTTACCCCTTTTTTTTCCCTCTGCTTCTCAACAGATAGGAATGACTATAACGTTCAAAGCTGCTGAAGAATAAGACCAAAAGCATTGCTTTGAAACTGGAAAATAAGGGGGTGTTTGCCCCTGCCCACAGTGTCCCATGTGGGCCACCTGCGGGGGAAGCTGGGTGGTGTGGGGCTCGGGCTCAGGGGAGCAGAAAGTGCTTTTCCCACTTGCAGTGAACACAGGTAACCGATGTGCCAGCACATACATACCTAGATACATTATGTGGTTTTGTTTAATGTGATTAGGTGCAAGGATCCAACCAGATGGGAACAGCGTGGAGATTAGCGACACAAGCCAAAACCAGCAAGTTTGGTGGAGGGATTTAATGCAGACGAGGACAGCATTTAAGGCCTCCAAATTAACTTGCTGTTAAAGCTGTTCTTTACTATGCATTAATAGGAAGGATTG